TGTGGTCAGAGAAACATGGCACGTTTTTTTCCTCTGACCTAGTGATTGAGGTTTTCTGGAATTCTAAAAGTTCAAAAAATATGTAACTGTCTTTTGCTCCCTTGTATAAAGCACATTGTTGTATTTTCACTATTCAAACTGACAAACTGTGTTAAGCTTAATGTTTCCAGCTCATACAGCCCCTTTTTATGAATTCTTTAATATCTGATACATTCCTTAAGAATATCTCCATAGAGTTATATTCCAAGTAGCAGTTCCAAAATATTTTATTTAGGATAAAGACCTCAATATACTTTCCAAAATAAATAATGATGCTGAGTAAATACTTTTTTCCTTATTCCTGAGTAAATAAGCTGTTGCTTCAAGAAGCCTACATTGTTAAAGGAGCCCCAATGGATAAATATGTTACTTTGGTGCAAAGTATAACAGAATCTTCTGTATGGACCTATCTGTGCACAATTGGCAATTCAATTAGAATGTTCAGATGAAATGTTCTAGACATACTAGACCTGAATAACAAAAGTAAGTCAGTTTTCAGTCACAAGAGAAAACCCTGAAGTACAATGCTAAAATATCCTGAAGAAAGAAACTTGGTCACAGGTCCACTTTTCTCCCTCTAGTAAGAGCTAAACAGTTGTAGGGAGCAACCACAGTACCTTTAGGAGAGAAAAACTCACTTGTATACTGTCCATTTAGTGTTCAGCTTCTCTTGTGTTTTTCCCTGCTGTTACAGGGATCACAGTTGAAACAAAATATATAAATGAAAGAGAATGAGACTGTTCAGATTGTACCATGACCCCATTTATCTGACTGTGTGCCACCTCAAACATTTTTGCAATCACTGTTAATTCAGCATCAGAGGAACCTGGTCTGCAGTGATACAGATTTGCAGTGTACCAAAATGCCATCGAGGCACACAGAACTGATTATTCAGTGCTGGACTGTCCTTCCACTGGCTTCGTTGACCCAAGTATTAATACTGCCAGGTTGCTGCTAAATCTGTCTTGTCCCTCTGAATAGCTGTATGCCAAATCATAGTGATTATTCATGCTTTTATCAGCTGTTTCTATAGCAAGAGGGCACTTAATCCCTTTTCATGTTTAGGATTTGTTTGTCAAGAGATCCATGAAATTTGTGTCTGAAAGCTAAATAATCTAATTATGCTCGCCTTGCAGAAATAGTGGGATTAAGATTCTGCCTGTTTTGTTGATAATATTCTGTTGTGTGGGGAGTCAACCTTGGCTTGGAGTCAGAAAACATGAACTGTTTCCACCATGTTTTTCTTGTGTGACAGGACTAAGCAAGTCAGAGTGATATCTACAGAGAGGTGTAAGTGGAGCAAGGCTCACTGCCACCACCTAGAAAAGAGATTTATGATAATCAGCATGCTGGAGGAAGATAGATAGAAACTAAACAGTGGTCTTTAGGAGTGTCTCTGTACCACCAGGCTAGAGATACAAAGGCACAGAATGATATGCTACCCTTTTTGCTGGTAATGAAACCATTCTGCAACCAAGAAGCCAAGACACAGTTTTAGAGAGAAATAGCAGAACTTCACTATTCTTTGCAGCCTGATATTTAGGACACTGCTGGGAGATGCCATTATGGGCATTCTGCTTCATGCTGCATTTGACTTTTAATTGCAAACATTATTGACACTAGGATAGATTTAGTTAAATGGAGTGAGACAGTTTATTCTGGGAGATGTCAGGGACTGCTGACAGGGTTGAGGATCTTATTCTTGGGTTTGGAATGTCTAAATTCCCAAAAAATTCTTCAAGTTCTAAATCTTGTTTTGTGTCTGTGTCCCAAAGGGGTAAGATATGCTTGTTTCTTAGGAATACTGAGCCTGATATGTAGGAATGAGCCAGGTAAAAGACTAACAGCAAAGCTGGAGTTGTATATCAGTATTTTGTAGCATGGATCAATGTGTCTGGAAGGGCTTGGACCATCCTCTTATGTAAAGGAAGAACAGAGGAGGAGAAAGAATTATATTGAAACCTTCAGTTCAATCTATAGGGTGTACTTTGCTCCCATGTTTCCTTTTTTCAGAAGTGAAGGTTTTGATAAATTGCACTGGGCCTTCAACTGAAGAAGACAACAAAATATCCTGTCGTAATTGTTTTTGAGAAGAAAAGTCTGTGTCATGCAGATTTGTATTGGATTAGCAAGAATTTAGGTTGGGCTTCATTTGTTCTCCTCACCACTAATAATCTTGGTAGATATTTGACCTGTATGGGAGTATGAGTGACACAGAACAGTTGGAGAGACAGCAGGAAAGTTTCTGGCTTATATGGGAGATGTACTCTCTCCCAGTTTTGTTTTCATGTCAGAAAGTTTGATAGCTCTGATAATAATGCTTGGTCTGGACTCCCAGCACACAAATCTTAGCTATATTTGAAGTTTTAGCCTTTTATAGCAGAACCATCAGACTTATGAGATCACAGAGGATTCAGTGTCTCTTAGAATGAGGAAAGTTTATCTTGGGTGTTTCCTAATGAACAAATAAGTACTATATAAAGTTTCATGGAGGTGACACATTTTCCATGCTAATGTAGACCAATTGGAAACATAAATAAATAATAATTTTTAAAACCCCACCTCCTTATAGGACGAGTAAAACACCTTGGCAGTTCAGGTCCACCTGAAACCAGATTTGCATGAATTACCAATTTTTATCCTCTTTTCCTCTCAGTGATGCTTATTTCACCCCTAGAAATCCAGAGTACAGTCCCCTCACCATTAAAGAATAGTTCCACTTGTCTTCTCCTCTCCCTGTCCCACAACAAATTCAGGTATCCCTTCTCACTGGAGTGGGTCCTATGCAATCCTCATAAAAATTATTGGAATTATTTCTCTTACTTCCTAATAAAAGAGCAGCCTTGTTTGCATGGTATTCCCTTTTCTGTTCACAAGTTGGTTCCCAACACTTATTTATCACCTGCATAGGCATTTGTTCTGAATGAACAGATCAATTAATGTTTTCAAGCATTGCTCTTGCATCTGCTTCTCTACATTAAGAAATTACTTTGCATAATGGATTTTCCACTAGAATACACAAATATCTTCCTTTTTGCCCATAATTCTTTTGTTGTGATCTGTAGCTTGTTAAATTTTAGCCTGTTGTAGGTTTATATGGTGTTTGGTTTCATGGCATAAAATCAATGATTCATGTATGGTAAAGCAATTACTAAAATATTTCCTTTAATTAATTGGTCTTGCATAATAATTTAATCTTTAAGAAAACCAAAACCTCCCCTAATTTAAGAGGTTTTCAAATTCCTTTAGTGACCATGTGTTTATGAGCCAAATTGCAGTGCAGTTTACAGTATCTCCTTTTTCCATTTTCCTAAACAATTCCATGAGCAGGCATGTGAATAAAGGTTTGATCACGACTGAGCATGTACTGTGATGTGCAGCTGACTTGAACTGCCCTGTTTGCCTCTGAGCTGGTCTTGCTTTCACCTTGAAGGCATTCTGCACTTTTATCTGTGTAAATGCCTGATAGCTTAAAATTCTTCATTATATCTCTTTTAGTACAATTTTAACTGCTTTGCAGATAGATCTCAGATTTATCATCAACCTTCTTGACTTTAAACTTCTCCAGCACAACCAGGTCATGCACTTATCTTGGTTTTTCTTATCTTTCATTCCCACCTCAGGATAGAATTTGAGAGGTTCTTTAGAGTTTTGTTTTTTATTTCTCTGCCTTAGCAGTTCACAAACTCTGGATTCAGAGCAGATTTATAAGCTCATCAGAAGGTCAGGTGTTTCTGCTTCCACCTGCAAACTAAGTTGCAACAAAATGCTTTTGGGTATTGCAACTTGTAGCCTGCATTGCTGTCAGCATGAATTTGATGATTGTCCTGTGCACAACTCTCAAAACTATCTTTCCTGCCTGTTTGCCCTTTTTACCAGACTGAAATCCATGTGTGTATTTGAGTCCTTTTCATAGATGCATTTTGACACATTATTACATATTATTAACATGGAGCTCTCAGTATTCTTTATACACCTTGGAATTTTTCAGCCACTCAAAGAGCTCTACTCCTATTGCTTCTTATATTGACCAGTGTTTTCTTATGGTCATTATGGTCCTCAGTGCATCCAAGACCAGATCTTAGCACTCTGCTCTCTAAGCTTTTACTCAGGAGGTCACAAAAGCATGGAGGAACTTTGTGGTGTTTATGCAGACCTTGCCAGGAAAGGATGTTGAATGGCAGCTAGGGTTTTTCAGAAACAATTACAATTATTTTCTCATCTACACCTTGCTAGGATTTTAAGATAGAATACTTTCTTGAAAGGGAGACAAGCTGAGAGAGAGAGGGTATAGCTTGCATATAATAAAGGGAGAAAATACATAAAAATGAGTATCACTGATTTTATTCCATTTTATTTTGGTGGGGGAAGATAATATTTGTTTACTGTTTCAGCTTACCTGTCCAAGGCAGGTTATTGCTTATTATAGTAGTCCACTGTAAAATTAGTTACTTTTGCTAAAAAGAAATAAAAAATAATAAAATAAGAAAGAGATGTTGTAAATATAAAAATCACACTCAATCTAGAATGAGTGAAATGAATACTCCTCGTTTGAACAGAAGTCAAGTGGGTTCCTCCCTGCTGCTTCTTTCAGCTTTACTTTTGGTACTGAGTAACAGGTTTCCCTAAGTAATTTCACTGACTGCTTAATATTCAATGTACCACTGAAACTTCTGTAAGTCTTCCCTGAAACTCAGCGAAGTGTTATGGGGTTATAATTTTAAAATGTTAATAAACATTATTGAAGGGAAATTGGAGGATCACATTTTTATGAATTATTTATAATTTAAAAACAAAAGTTAACCCCCAGTAACAAACATAAGTATAGTTTATAATTTGCCTCTTTTTCTTTACTGTCCGTTTTCTAAACCTATATTTTGTATTTCCATTACTATTTTTTATATTGTCCAACATTTAAGTGAACCTGCAAGTTTTAAAGAAGGATAATTATTTTTTTTCAGAGTGTTGGGAAGAAATTACCTCCAGCCACCGCAACTCAGGAGCCAACAAAAATAGAAGTGGACAGCAGAACAAAAAGTAGGTTTCATAGTTTTTTTCTTTTTTGCACTTTGTGCTATTAAAAGCAAGCTGAATGCTTTTCTCTGGTTTTGGTTGAAAGAGTGTCCTGTATATAAAAAAGTGAGGATGCAGATAGATATATTTAGGATAAACTTCGAGTAGGTGGTACCTAAACAAAATGCTTTGTTTCACAGAATCCTCTGAATTGTTTTTGCTCTGGTGACCCTACATCAAATTTTCTGCCACCAAAAATCTAATTAAATTATGTGATCAACTTTCAGCCTTGAGGATACTTTGGAATTAATCAGAGTTGAATAAGATCCAAATTCAGGTTGTAACTTGTACGTAGGTCATAGAAAAAATTTTCATGTTGCGAATGCTCTTGCATTTTTCCTCTTTTAAAGAGATGGTTTTAATGATTTTATTTCTATTTCTTTATGTAGCAGGGATAAACTGTATGCATGGTACAGTTTGTATGGGAAATCAGAAGAGAAGGCTCCAAGGAGACCTTCCAGCAGCCTTCCAGTACCTGAAGGGGACCTGCAAGAGAGCTGGAGAGTGAATTTTTATAGGAGAATGTAGTGACAGGACAAGGAGAAATGGCTTTAAACGGAGAGAGGGCAGGTTTAAATTAGGTGTTAGAACTTTGTTACTGTGAGGCTGGTGAGGCACTGGCACAAGTTGCCCAGAGAAGCTGTGGATGCCCCATCCCTGAGCCATCTGGTCTAGTGAAAGGTGTCTTTGCCCGTGGCAGGGGGCACTGGGACTAGATAATCCTAAAGTTTCTGTCTAACCCAGACTATTCTCTGATTCTTGACCTACAGTTCTTTTTTCATCATTTCAGTGCTTAGCAGTGAAAAAGTAATGATTAAATCTTTCATGTATGTCTCTATGCTGTTCTAGGTAACTAGCTTACCAAATAACATACATATATATTCCCCATCTTTTGATTTTATTTATGTAAAGTTACAAATAAATGTTACAGATTTTGGTGGAAAACAGTAAGAGGGAAGAGAACATAGCCATAGCTTAGAAAATAAGCTGAATATAACAGAGTTGATTTTCTTTAAATCTTGCACAATCCTTGTTCCCTGATGAGTTTATCCTTTTAGATAATTAGCAGATAACATTTTGTCTCAGAACTGAAACACATAGAGACATATGCAGGAAAGCATCTGGATCAGCAGAGCAGGGTCTGTCTGAGGGAGGTGTGTGGTTACAAACTGGTTTGTACAAGTTTTCAGCTCAGAATTGCAAAAGCAGCTTAAAAGAGCTTTTAGTGAGTTATTGTCCATTAGCTCCACCGCAGTCATTGACTTGCTACATCCTCTGTGCCAGCAGGCTCTAATGGGAAATACTGCCAGAATTCAATTACCCTGAGGAAGTGAAACTTGAAATACTGAAAAATGTGTGAACTGGTCATGCAGAAGAGGGCTCCTGAATGTGTTTTGGAATTACCTTTGCCAACCTGCAGGCTGAGCAGTTCAATCTGACCTGAGTGCAGGTGCCATCAGAAGGGGTGGTCCAGGGGCTTTCCCACCTGCAGCATTAACCCTTGTGTGGGAAGCCAGGCTGCTCCTTTCCACATCAGCTCATACTTGTGACAGCTGAAGCTGCTCACTATATCCCATCCCAGGGTATGGGAGGTTCAAACTTTCACATTTATAAACTGAGTATGAAAACCTTCTGACCAGTGGTTAGAAAACTGTATCTTCTACTGTGATCCATTAAGCTCTGGCTGACAGAGACACTTTTCCATCAACACTTTTGGGCTGTGGATGGTCCTTCTTTCCATTGTTATTTCCCTCAGACATACCTTTTTTCCTTTTTGGCCAGAAAAATTGTTATTCTTATGTTGCTGTCTTCATTCAGCATCCATTTTGCCAGAGTTGGTGAGAAGGGTGGGCTACTTATTATATCCTGTTGAATTTTCACTAAACTGCATGATTTATTATTTTATCTTTCCTGGAATCTCTGGGGCCTCAGTAGAATTCTTGGCATCTCTGTTCATGCTTGGGAAAGAGAAGCACATCTATAGGAAGGTCTGATGTAATGTAATTATATATAATTTTCTTAGCCTCAACTGTCATCATTGAAGACATATTTCATTCAGCTGAAGTTGTCCTTCACTTAACTTGAAAAACCTTTCAGTGCAAATGAAACATGCTTCAGTCTGGTTTGGTGTTTAATATAGGCAGAGGAATAATTTCTTCATAATAAAGTTAATGTCTGATAGTCAGAAATGAGGAGTATGATCGGACTCTGGCATAGGACTGTAATCTGTCTAGAATTTGTCATTTCTCAAAAATTCAATTTTACTTTTCACCACAAACAAGCTTGAAAAAGCATTCAGTCCAAGGAAGTTTGCAGTCTCAGAATACTGGTGAATGTTCCAATTGCTATGTTAAGCACAAAAGTATCATTCTACCTTGGACCTGAAGTACTTTCACTTTTGCCTGGGGTGGTAATGTCCCACTCTTTAACTGCTGAACCAAACAGATACTATGTCATTCTCCAAGGAATGAGACTTACTTCCTGATCATCACTGGTATTTCAGATGCTGAAACCACAGCCCTCTCTCCACTCTTGTCTATCAGGTTCTTCCTCCTGAAAGACAATTCAAATACCCAGTCTTCAAATAGCAAGTGAGACCTGAGGGAAGCCTATCTGTTATAGGACTCAGGATACCCACGCCCTTTGCAATCCAAAGCATTTTTTAACCTGAAACACGTGGGATTCATCCACACCTTGAGCAGAAGCTGCACTGCAGACATCCTGTCAGAGTGATGCTGTTTGCTGCTTTTTAGCTGTACTTTGTGCTTGGCTTTCCACTTAATCTCGCACTGATGCTGTTACTGAATGGAGGATCAATGGATATGTCTGAGAATGAATGTTCTGGAATAATCCTTCTTGGGCTCAGATGTTGTTTACCTCTGAGAATCCAGCCAGTTCTGTATCCCAAAAAAGAAATGCTAAGCCTGTTCCCAATAACTAGAGACTTGCCTGAGTGTGCAGCACTCAGCTTCTTTAGTGCAGTATTACATTTACATCAACTCTGGACTAATTCACTGATCTATTATTTAGCACAGCTGCTTTTCAGAGCCTGGATATAGTCAGAATAGGGAAAAAACCCACGATGATAATTTAAGGTAGCATGCCACTGAAGTGTAAAATGTGCTGAATCTCATATTTATTTACATGCTGCTTTGCATCCACCTAAGTTAGTGTGTGCCAGCTTTCTACCAGCTTTTACATAAAATGTTTTATTGTCTCAAAGACAACATAGTGAGCAAGTGGAACATCCTAGCCAAGTCCACAAAGAGACATCCCAACCCTTCCTCAGAATGCAGTAAAGCAGCAGTTAGACACCCCTTTCATCCTCTAAATCTGAGTTGTGATCTGGTGGTTCTCACATGCCTGGTGGTTTGGAAAAGCCACCAAGTGTTTATTTCATAGTGTTCTCTGCTTTTAGGACAAGGAAAGGATTTTTTTCCTTGCTCACTTCTTTTCCCTCAAAACTTTGGTTCATTGTCTTAATCTGAATTTTGTTTCTTCAGAGACACCAGAGGAGGTGTGGTGAGTTGACCCCAGCCAGCAGCTGTGCTCAACCCAGCCACTTGCTGCCATAGTGGAGAGAGCAGGGCAAGCAAAAGCAAGAAAATTAATGAATAAAGACAGTTTGATAAACAAATGAAAGAGAAATAAAGAGAGGCAACACAAAGGCAGCCACCATTCAGTAGATCAATGTCCAGCTAGTCTCCAAGGAATGGAAACCTCCTAAACCAGCACCCCCAAAGCCCACCCATTTTTATTGGCGAGCAGGAGCCATATGGCACAGAATATCCCTTTACACATCTTGGGTCAGCTGCTGTGTCCCCTCCTGCTTCTTGCCCACCCTGGCCTACTTGGGGGATAGAAAAGAGAAAAAAGAAAGATGTGTAGTTATGCTAGGCAATAGCCAAAACACCGGTGCAGTTTTAGTCACAAATCCAAAATGCAGCACCATGTGGGCTGCTGTGAAGAAAATTAACTGTATCTCAGCCAGACCTAATACAGGGCATGGCCAGAAAACCAACTGCAATGGTCATGGGTAAATTCAAACATTTGTGTTCAGAATAAGAAATCTGTGAAGCCTAAGAAGTTCTTGTTTGCTTGAACCAATGACACATAAAATTCATGCTGTTTCTGAGTGGCAGAACTGAAGAAGAGCTTTCCAATTCCCTACTACTACTATTTAATTTCTCAAGCTGATGGGGCTAACAGAGAGCAAACTTTCAGATGCACATTTCTGGGCTGCTTCTTTATGGCTGCTGTTTCTTTCATGAACTTTAGAAGTTTGGATGGAGCTTATGTGTCAGAGTCTGAAGTTTGGGTTATAATGATGAGTTTGGTATCTGGACTTTTGGAGGGGTGGTCCCACTGGAAATCTATCACTGCTGTCCAGGGAGTTCAAATCCTGGTTCAACTAATCAAATGTAGGTGTCTATTCTTGGAGTCAGGAGTGACTCTCAAGGCTTGACTCATTTTAGTGACTTGATCTCCATTAACTATAGTGCACTGACCAGGTTGGTTTCTAACATCAGATGTCTGAATCTAAATTCAGACACAAGGCCAAAGATTGGGGGCTGAAATCAGTAGGCTGCATCTGGAGCTGTTTGAGATACCCCCAGGGTATTTAGTTTTTATTTGCCTCCAGCTGTCAGACCAGAGGGACCCGGTAATTCCATAGGTTCAGCCATACTATACATGTGTCTTACATACCCACGAGTGTCTGAAAAGGCCCTTAGTGTCTGGGCAGCTGAACTGACCCCCTGGTGGAGCCTCAGATACCCTCAAGTGTGATAATGCAGATTCTCTTTATAGTAAGTATAAAAGAGTAAGTTTTGTTTCAAATTTATATTTCTGTGGCCTGCCAGTACTTCTCTGCATTGAATGTAGTTGACTAGACATAGAGGTCATCAAAACTGAGACATTTAAAGTGAGGTGAACATTTCTACAAAATCACCTGTCTTCTCCAAACCATCAAGTAGTTTGCTTGGTCCTTTTAGACCTGCTGTCTTAGAGTGTCACATATTTTTATGCATAGTTGCACAGCTGTGAAACATATTCCCTTTTTATTTGTAAGGCATATTGACATACTCATCTGTTGCACAGCAACATGTAAGTAACTGCTTTTCATGAAAACTGCTTTTTATGATTTCTGAGTAGGAGTCCTGGCTTCTGTATTTTCCAGATGAAAGTTGAGATAATGTCCTTATTTATAGACAGTAAAGGAAAAAGGGTCGAGGAAACTTTAGAGTAATACTCAAAACTCTTACACTGAGTGTACAGGTGGTTTAGTTATTAATGCATTAGCATTTATTAATGTATTATTTATTGTTGTATGATCTTTATGGATTCATAAATATCTGCTTTCTTGCACACAAGGGGATAGGATAGATAAACTATGTCAACCTACTGCTCCCTTTTTGCTTCCAGTTTTTGTGATCTGGTGGGAGGCCATACCCATGGAACTATGAAAGGAAGTGTCAGATACAGAACTTACTCAAAGGGAAAGAGTTTGTGGCAGGTTGCTGTCTGGAGCAGTTTCATTTGAGATAATGGTTCTAAGGGCTACAGAGCTGACTCCCTGGATGACGTGTGTGGGAATGCTTTTCAGCGTTCAGTTTTTTAAATATTTCATATTGTTTATGAAGGTCTAAAATACAAAGAGAAAGATGGCAAGGAAATAAGGCAGCACAAAGAGACACTAATGGAATATTTCATGAAGATTATTCACCCTTGAATAAGCAGTTGTTATAAAGTGATAATTTATCACAGTGAATGTTCTTCCTTTCAGACAAGGAGTATTGCAAAGTGATATTTCCGTATGAAGCGCAGAACGATGATGAACTCACAATCCGGGAGGGTGATGTTGTCACACTTATCAGTAAGGTAAAAGCAATATTTTTCTCCTATAAGCAGTGATACAGTTTTTAAAACTGACATAATTTGATTACCATAAAATTAGTATTTGTGCCTATAGTGTTGTTGCAAAACCAATGCTTATTTGACAGTGAAACATTACACAGACTTCAGAGCCCTACATCTCCTTTCCTCATGTGCTTTAGAGCCTTCCTCTGATAATGAATATTAAGCAAAGAACATCCAATGTGTATTCTTGAGTCTACAAATTTATACAATTAATTTTAATTTGAATCTGCCAGCAGATTAACATAAATTGTAAATGGAGCCCTGTAACAAACTTAATGGCTTAGGGGAGAAACTGGAAGATTCAAGAAAGCAGCAGCTTTGAATATCTCTCTTTGGTGCACGAGTTATTTTTCTTGTAGAAACTGTGAGTTAGATTTTTGTGTTAGATTGAGGCAATGTGCCTGAATTAACTTACTGAATGAAACATTTAAAATGTAGACACCCTTTACATATTCTGGTAAAGCAGAAGAAGATGACAGAACAGAATAGTTTTAGATATATGTTTTTTCTAAAATGATGTGAAATTATTCAAGATTAGAAATGAAAAAAATAGTGCCAGAATTTGTGCTGAATCTTCAAAAGCCATAGAGTGAGATGGTGAGTAAACAGTTGGTTTTCTTTTAAAAGAGCTATGCACCATGTTACAAAGAACAGATGATAATTTAGGTGCATTTAATTTCCTGCTCCTTTTTAAAGATTTTACAGTTTATTTAAAAGTTTTTGATTGCTGGACATAAATATTTGTAGGGGAAAATCTATAAACTAAAAAAAGGCTGTGGATTTTCCATGAGGATGATGAATCATAACAATATACACAATACTGCTGCTCTTGTTTGTGCTTTTATGAAAGTAAAATAATTAATTCTATAATTAATATGTCATAAGAAATTGTTACTTGACTGAACAATTTGGCACCAGGTGAAAAAAAAAAACAAAATCTTGGGAAGTACGTCTGGGGCAGTGTTTGCCACATGCTAAGCTATTTTCAATCCTAGAGGACAAAGACATCTTTTTTGTCCTGAACAATATGCATGTATCCAAAGAAAAGTAATCAGACATTTGGTAGGAAGAGAAACTGCAAATGTAAAAATAAATTGTGTACATTAAATATTCTTTAATGATCTGCCCTCATTGACTTTTGTTTAGCTGTTTGTAGAGCTGTGTAGCTTTGCCTGATTTAGAATGTTCTCATGTGAGTATTTAACAGTGTTTCTGATAATGAAAATGGCTTTTAAGATGTTGCTCCTGTCCACTTTATGCTTTATTGACCAGAATGATTTAATTCCCCGAGATGACTGGTCTCTGGGTGGAGCTGTGCTCATCAGCAAGCATAGATAAAAAGACAATTACATTACTGAGGTTTCTATGTGAGATTTCATTAGCCTGCTTTTTCCCATTTTCTTCTTCCCTCTGCCTCAGACCTCCCAGTGGAAGGATATTTGTCTTTTATAATAACTAAGCTGATGATTTGACCGTATTGATCAGTTTTCCAAACACACAGAGAGAATGGTTTGGAATAGTAAATACACCATTCTCTAGCCCTGTCCTTCTACTCTCCAGTGATATCAAGCCACTGCAGACATTTTATTTAATTTTCTTCTTTATTTCTGTGTCATGTCACATCTATGAACACTTATATAAACCCTTGCCTCTAGAGGGTGGGGGATCTCAATGCACAAAAGTCTGGAGTTTCTCTATGGATACTTTTTCATGTGGTGTCTGAACTGATATGAGCCACTGAAGAAATGGTGTTTAACAAGCAGTCACTTTGCAGATCCTTTTGTGCTTTGCAGACCTCATTGCAGTCAGACTTGTGGGGTTTCTTCATCTGTTTTTAACATAGTTAAAAAAATAAAATTCAGGCTATGTGGAGTCAGGGTCTTTGCTGTAGAGTTCTGAATACAATGAGGTTTCCTTTATGCTCTACCACATAATGCAGTTACTTTATTTTAGTCCAGATCTTCTGAAGCAGATGTCTGTTGTCATCTTTCTTTTAGTCAGCAGTAACAGAAGAATGGGAGAGAAATCTCATGAAAAGAATGCAAAATGCATTACAATAATCTTAACAGCACAAAGATGAGATAGCACTTGATAAGTGCTAAGACAAAAGGGGATGGACCAAATGAGCTAAAAGGGAAGCTCCTACAAGAGGTGGTGTACAGCTGCACACATGTGTGACAATGGGGATGTGAGGAAGCTGTTAGTCTAATATTTGTCTTAAAATGCTAAGACCTAATTTTGTGGAAAGGTGTAGGATCAGTAAATGCAGAATTCAATATCGCCATATTCAAAGTATCCACAGATAAAAGGGATAAGAGTATGGCAGATTTCTCTCTTTTATTCAGTTGAATTAGTTATAAAAGTCTCTTTGTCAAGGTCATAAAATCAAGATCATAAAATATCTTTCTAATACAAAGCAAACTTTTTTTGTCACGGCCTTTGCAGACTCTGTTTCAAAGTTCTCACTGTGTTGTTGGATGTTGAGATCTTGAATGACAAGCTGGTCAGAACTTTTCAATAGGTCTCTGTGATAAGAGATTTTGAATATCTGTGGTTTCTTTGAAATAGCTAAAGAATGCTTTGAACAGATCTGCTGAATCACAAGTGATCTCCCTAATCACACAGAGAGTGTGCTGGAAAAGTTTATTTAAGTGAAGAAAGTCAGTAGAGGCTGGTCACTTACAGGTCAGAATGGTATGTATTTGGGGAGATATAGGGTGAAGGATAGCGTTATGCAAAACTGATAACCAAAAAATAATTACCAGTTATTTGGAAAACATACACTATGAGATACAGTCCAAACATATCTTAGTTAAAATGTACCTAAAAGACTGAAGAAGAGCAGAAACTTCACATACATCTATTTCAAAAATTTCTGGAAAAGGCTTTTTTCTTCTTTTCCCCAGTGAAGTAAATACCCTTGTAAATACCTAGAAAAGGTTTTATTTATTAATAAGTGGAAGTAAAAGTGTGGAAATGGTAGTCTTTTAATTCCTTCATGCAGAATAATGTAAAAACCCTGAAAATATTGGTCAGAATTGTAACAGAAGGTAAAAAACTTCATCTTCAAGGCAATAAACTAATAGACCTGGTACCTTTGCTTTGCAAAAAGAGGAGTCTAAGAAAAATACACCTTTGAAAGAAAGAGAATAAAAAGCAAAATATAGTAACTTCACTTGTACAGTTAAGGTGATGATTGTGCATTTTAATGATTAGATATGTTCATAAGGTTAAAATTATGAATGGTAAGAGGCCATGAGATTGACAATGTAGATTACTTTGTATTGTCAAACATTTATGTTCCTTAGGTATTTTTTTTTTAGTGTCATCAAAATATTCCTGAGAACATTTGGGTATAGGCAAGCACCCTGCAGCTGAAGAAGAGTGGCAAACAGGTCTTTTATCATGCTCAAATATTAATTTTGAAGATTGTATTTGTAATAAATACCATTTCTTCTAAGCAGCAGAAGATTCATGTGACATTTTCAACGGTCATCATGAAAATTTTATTTTTCTTTTTTTTATTGCAGCTTTTATTAATGCAGCCCTCTTAGATGTAGTTATTGTAAGCTACTTTTCTACAAATTTATTAATAGCTTTGATAAATTATGACAAAATGCTTAGGATTCTGAAGACTTCACCAGCACACAGAAAATGACCTGTGTGAGGAATCAATAGAAATAGCTACATAATTTCAAAGCAAATACATCAAGAACACACTGGCAGCTGTGCACTCATTCAAAAGCAGTTTTACTTGCAAGGATGTAAGATTTCATTTTAGTGCATCAATCTGCCTGAGCTGCAGGCAGTAAAGACCACTTTGTTCCCAGGAGTGAATATGGTCTGGGTAAATAAAATTAGCTGCTTCAAAAATAATTGCAAATTTGAAAAGCTGGCAGCAAGGAAAAGATATCCTCACCTGAACCCTTATTATCAATGGACAGCACTGATATCAGCAGCAGTTCTGTTAATTCTGAATTTATATGGTGCTTTTGCTGATGCTATTCAAATAGTACTGGTAAAGTTACTGCATTAGTATTGTGAAAGGCACAACAGGATAATTACTAATGAAAAACTTACATGACTATTTATCTGGTCTAGATATTCAATGGGATATTTAATGGCAATCCAATTTGTAGAGCTTAATTTTGTGCTGGGGGGCAAAGAGCCACAAACCTAGTTTTAAAAGTAAGCATAATGGCAGTCACTTTTTACGAAGCTTGTATTTGCTTTTGGTGTTATTATTAATAATTTATTGTGAGATTTGCAAGTTTTGTGGTTCAAAATGCTGCACATTTAGCCACTTCCTGCCCTGAAGCATATGCAGTCAAGTGATAAGACAGACTAGTAAGTACAGGTGAGTAGAAGAGTGTAAAGAAACAATTCAATGAGATTCAGTCTTGGCAGTCTCTTTCATCATGTCCTTTGCTCACTGGTGCAGTGGTGCTCTGTGTGTTTGTCCCTGTAAGAGCACAGAATGTGGCCCTTATGCAGGGTATTTAATACTGCCCAATCCTCAGGGTAGCCACGAGACAGTTAATTTAACCCTGACTGTATTTATAGGCAGTTACTGGAGCGTGGCCCTTTTGCCAAAATAATTCTCCTGCTTTTCTCTCTTACAACATCTTTAAATGCTCATCCTGGTGCAGGAGGTAATTGTCCAGAGCACTTTCTTTAGCTGAGCAATTGGCAAGGCAAACTCATCTGGGCAGGGTTGTGAAGGAAAACAGCTGCTCTAACGGATGCAGGAGGCTCCTAAAGGGATAAAATAGTAAGTGCTATGTTAAAGAATCCTGCCAGTGAGTTGAGGCCATGAGCAGGGGAAGGAGCAGGATGCAGACTGTGATAGAGAAGGACACTCGCTGATACTCAATCGAACATTTTGCTGGGCTGGGGAGTCACTAGGGTTGCCAGAAATTGTTTCTGTGGGGTTTTATTAATTGCTGAATTTTTCTGTACAC